CCAGCACCAGCCACCCAACTGCAACATCTCGCACCCTGCTGCCCAGCAACTTAGCCCACCAGTTCTTACAACAACTTTTCGACAAGTTGACATGCCATCAACAACAACTGCCACACTCAATTCACAGGCAGCAGCATTTCTGCCACAACCTCAATACCAATCTGGCTCCCAGGCACCACAAGGTAACCGTGTCCAGCCTATACAGCAGCGTGACGCTCGACCATCGTCCCCAGTATGGGCAAATGACATCCTCCATAAGTACTGGGAGCAAAACTATAACCCTTCATTGACTTACAACCCGAACCCACCCTATGAGAATCCAGGGGGAGAACCGTCTATGTCAATACCTCCCCCCAACTCAGCAAATGCTGAAGATTACTGGAGAAACTTGGCTGTACAGAGTGGAAAGCTAAATTTGTGCACCAACGGAGCTTGCAAATTCTCTGACAAGCCTGGCAGCGAGTATCTAGGATGGAAAAAACTTTTCCTGCACCCCGTTCAGGTGGCACACCTGAACCCTGATGAAATAATCGGACACTTGATAGCATGGCTAGGGCCACAGTCTGCCGAAATACCGAGGGCACTTTATGCATCCCACTTAGACGACCCAACCGCTGCCCTGTGGTTATCATGGAAAAGGCTTGCCGAAATGTATGGTGCTTCCGAAGATGTAGATGTCAGCCTTCAAGATTTTTCTCCCTTTGCTTTGCTTCTTTCAGCTGTCATAAGTAACGGGGGGAGGAGGGGGGAATGATTATGGGAAGTGAGCTGGAGGTGTTACAAACCAGAACTGTATAAACTGGGGGGGGGGGGTAGATTCTTGCTTAGGTTTCTATCCTATGCTATGCGCAGCTGCAACCCTTTATCAAAATATGTCAAGGTCAACGGTCAGAGGCCTCATCACCACCTGGAGATGCTCACATGATGATATACACAACTTTTTATGGGATGAGCCAATTGAACTATTGAGGGTGGGAATGTTGGCATTACTTTGTATATGTGATTTATGCGTCCATTTTCTCAGATTCAGAATTCTTTTATTGCTACCACTTGATTTCCAGTAAAAGATATCTTTTCTCTGATTAAAAGAGTCTAAGTATTTCTTTCTTGGATTTTGAATGGAGCACCAGCTGACATTATTCTGAATCTCACTTTACCAGCCCACCCAGAGAATTAATAAATTTTCTTCCGAGGGGATCTGAACACAACGTCAAATCCAGCCAGAGACCAAGAAGACCTGGGAGCAACTGGAGGACCAGCTTCCCTACTGTTAGAGGCGGCAGTGGAAGCTGAGTTGTTAGCAGAAATACATCTTGATGAAAAACCAACTGTAAAGCCCAAATGGTCTCTGGGAGTTGGCTGGAAGAATCCGGAGGAAGATCCCCCTCCAGGAGTGACCACTACCAGACAGCGTAGAAGAGAAGAGCCGTGGCGAGAGGCTGAAAGAAATAATTTTTTATTAGCTCAAGCCCTGCATCTTCTAAATGAAGCTGCCCGAGGAACTCAGACTGATCAAAGGTATGAGAGGGAAGAGGGGGAGGCAGCCTCAGCTAGGAGAGCCCAAGCAGCGACCCCCCCATAAATCAACCTGGGCCGGCACAATGGGCGGCAGCAGCCCAGGGGCCCCCAGTGGGGGGAGTGATTGCCAGAAGACGTAGAACTCCAAAGGTGCCTCCATTGGAAGTAAAATATGGAGGGGATCCCAAGGAGTTAGGTTTCTTCCTGGCACAAGTCTGGAGCCACATGGAAGAATATGGGGAGGATTTTTCCTCGGAAGCAACCCAAGTCAGATGTGTTATCAGGGCTCTCGAAGGGACAACTGCAAAATGGATGGTGACTTTGCATAATGATAATGCCCCCCCCCCCAGCTGATGAATTAGGATCTGTTCATGACAGCGCTGTGTGCCAGATTTGAAGACCCACTTGCTGAACGTAAGGCCAGAATTAGGATGAAGACCGTAAATCAGGAGCGGAGATCAGTGGCCGACTACATCCAGGAATTTAGAGAGCTGGCGTGTCATATTCAAGGCTGGTCCCAGGGAGCCCTGATAGAAGCTTTTAAAGATGGATTGAATGAAGATGTATATCAAAGCTGTATTGCCAGAAGAGACCCCAGTGAGCTGCAGCTGTGGTATGTGCTGGTGGCAGAGGTGGAAATTGATCTGACCTGAAATAGATGCCGGGGGGGTTGGTTAGTTGGAGCAAATCCTCCCCCACCAGCCCTCGAGCAGCCTTAAAACCTCAAAAGGGAGGAATGGTGGCAAAGCCCAAGACCACTGCTTGCTTCCGATGTGGGAAGCAGACCGGGCTGCAGACTGCCGTGCCAAGCTAGAGCCAAAGTGGGCGCCAGGAGGAGGAAGAAAACCTGAAAAAAAACCAGCAAAGCCTCGCGAAACAGCGCTTAAAGCAGAGGAGGTTGTAGAGATCGCCCCTCCGAAAGGAGAGGAGCTGGGAACTCCAACCTCTTCTGAAGAGAGTGAATCCGAATCAGAAGACGATTCACTGGTAAATCCAAACAAGGGCCCTATGACCATTCCAGTGAGATTAAGGGTACCCACGTCGGGAGCCAAAGGGGAAATGCTGGCCTTGTTAGACTCTGGGTGCACAAGGTGTGTAATCAGCTCGGAGGTAGTGGAGAAAATGGGCTTAAGGCTGATGACTTTAAAAACGCCCATAGCCTTTTGCCAATTGGATGGATCGGTAGCTGGGGGTGGTCCTGCACATTTCATAATGGAAGCATAGAGAGACTTTGTGTTTTATTGTGGCTCCTGGGATGGAGCGGCCCCTAGTACTGGGGTTGCCCTGGCTCCGGAAATGGAACCCCACATTGATTGGAGGAGAGGGTCATTGCGCATACGTACTGACCAGCACCCAGAGGGGCAATCTCAACCAAAACTCAAGAATCCCACTGAACTGGCCTCCACTGGCACCGAGAACCTGAAGCGGAAGGAGAAAATTCTGGAGGAATATTGGGACTTAAAGGAGGTATTCAGTGAAAAGGCCTTGGATGAATTCCCCCCCATCGTTCAACAGATTGCAGTATTGAAATTCTACTGACAGTGGAAGCAACACTCTTGGATAACCTCAACAGTTTTCCTAAAATTACTATCAACAAGCCTCAATGGATCATAGACCTCACTAACATACTTGTCCAGATGAGAATGGCACAACGGGATCCCAAATTACCGGGACTCACCTGTCTCGATCACATCACACCTGGCTCATCACTTTCCCACTCTAGATCCAGTGGCCATCAAATCTCCACTAGGATGAGGGATCGTAGGAATTGTCAGTGTCGATCGGATGCAGGCTCCAAGCCAGGCAAATGCCTTAGCACCATCCATTCCAACAGCCTTCTGACGCCCTTTAGCACCATCGAAAACAAGAATGATATTCCAGCCTAAAAGGCCACCACCAATCACTACACTTTCTCTAGGACACCCTAAACGGCCACCAACAACCACCAGACATCCACTAAGATGCTCAACACGGGCATATGCCTCTGCAACACCCTTTCCTACAGCTTCCTGACACCCTTTGACACTGTGGAAGCAAGAGTACCGTTCTAACCCTAAAAGGCCGCCAGAAGCGACCACCAGACTTTCACCTTTGCCACCAAGAGTACCTGTACACCCTAAAAGGCCACCAGAGGAGACCAGCAGACTTGCACCAAGAGGCCGAACTTGAAGATTGTACCCCAAGCTTTGCATGCTATGCTTTGTTTGATGCTTTATTAATGTTTACTGTTTTTCTTAGTTATATAGCTAACTGTTTATCTTAGATATAGTTATCTGCTATTCATAGTATTACTGTTTACTGATTATCTTAGTTTATAGTTAATTTTTTTCTCTTCTCTTAATAGTGGAATTTACAAAGCGGGGAGGGGAGTGTGCTGTCCCAGCCAGTCTATGGGAATTGGATAGTTACTTAGGAATTATGAGCTGTCCCCTTAAGGGAATGCATCATGGTAAATGTAGTTAAAGGTATCCTGGAAATGTAGTTCATGTCACATGGCAACATCTGTAATCCCGATTGGTCACTAATTTGATCCTTGATGGGTTGGGGGAGTTTTCCTCACTTTTGCCTGAACACCCTAACTCATGGCAGTTGCTTTCTATCGCTACGAGATGGGTTAGGAGATAACCATCTTTTACTACAAGGCAGATATG